AAGCACACTTACCATGGTGAGCACTGAGTGATGTATAGAATTGCTGAATCACTATATTATACACCTGACACTAACACTATATGTTAAGTCTACTGGAATTAAAACTAAAAGCTTGATACAAACTTTTAAAAAGAATTAAGGAGGAGAGAGCACAAGCTTAAATAGCTAAACAAACATTTCCAGCACAAAGTCCAGTGTCTCTACTTTCAGAACAGAGGTTCTGTGATCTGAGCCAGACTAAACGAGTAGAAGCCAACTTCATCGTAAGTTATACTTAAAATGAAGCCCTACTTAAACTGAAATGGTAAAACCAGACCAAGCATTCTGCTAGCCAAGATCTTCATCATCTCCTCCGCCACAACGGGCCAGCTTATTCATCAGAATATAAAGCCTTTGCGGCTTACACAGCTTGTCAAAGAAATACCTCAGTCTGAAGAACACACATCCAAAAAAAACCCGTAAATTAACGTGAAACCTGATACCCTCCAGTCAAATCTGAAAGCCTTTTCTCTAAAACAAGAGATGGAAAATTGAAATATCTTAGAGCTTCAGCTTTTCATTTTCCATGACCTACATCAGCCCAAGAAGTCATTTTTCACCCATTAAAAAAAAAAAAAAAAAAAAAAGGCTTTACAAAGCACTTTACAAAAACTGGAAAAATATATTAAACAGAGACAACTTTGAGAATTCTGAATTTATTCCAGTGGTATTTGAGCCCTTGCTCTGCCAAAACAAAACCTTCCCCAAATGCCTCCTCTAAAGAACAAACCTCAGAACAATTTCCTAAAGCAAATCAGTATCCTGTAACAAGATTCCCCAGAAGTCTTAAAACATTTGCAGAATACTGTATTTAATCCACAATATTTGTCTGTTTTTCTTCCTGTCATTTCTACAGTTTTGTACATATTGAGCCAGGAAAGCTTAAGTCTCATTTGTGTTTCAACACAATACTCTCCTTTCTGATACCACTTAAAGATTTAAAATAGATGGGAAATATATATTTTGAGATTACTGACTGTCTTCATTTACATATATATATTTAGTATGTACTATATATTATAGTTACTACAAATAACATACTTATTTTTTTAATTATTATTATTTTAATGTTTATTAATTCTTGAGACAGAGACAGAGTGTGAACAGGGGAGGGGCAGAGAGAGAGGGAGACACAGAATCTGAATCAGGCTCCAGGCTCTGAGCTGTCAGCACAGAGCGCGACGTGGGGCTTGAACCCACGGAACTGTGAGATCATGACCTGAGCCGAAGTCGGACGCTAAACTGACTGAGCCACCCAGGTACCCCATAACATACTTATTTTTAAACACAGGTTTATATTTAGCCTGTAGGTTATATATAATACATATTGTTTTTAAAAATGTTTATATTTAACCTGTATTTATTTATAGGTTATATAAATGTCATATATATAACATGTATATATTACAAAATATATGTTAAAATAATAAAATATTAAAACTAGCTTATAACATAAAAAACAAGTTATATATAACAGGTTATATATAATATATAATGGGAGATAGATAGATAGATAGATAGATAGATAGATCTCCTCCCTTCTTCCAAATCCGGGAAGATATGAGGTAGCACATATTACCTTAATTCTCCTATGTTACCACCTTTTTTCCTGAGCCCCTTTAACCTTTGGGTTAGCAAAAAACAAGCATCCCATTAAAATATATTTACAAACAGCTAAGTAATTGTTATTCTATCTTGAGATCCAGGTGTTCTACCCTTTGCTTAAAGACATAAAGTCTTCTACAAATGTCTGCAGATCTGGGCCCCCAGCCCAAATCCCAAATTCTCAGGAAAAAATTTCTGACCTGTGGTCCTACCATTCCCAGAGCCTCCTAGCAAGTATTAGATGACTTATTTCTTTCCTCATCCTTCAGTAAAAAGTGAATTACTACTCTGCTTTATAAGATGGAAGGATCAGGTTCACATTCTCAAATACACTTGAAATCCAAAGGGTTGACAGATGCATCTATAATAATTTTTTATTTCCTTGGTGAGTACACACCACTTTCAGACAGACACATACACACAAAACTTAACTAAAACTATAGCTACAAAAAGGAGCTAAAAGCTTTTTGTTTTAATTCTAAAATTTCTTCTTTTTTTTTTTTTTTAAGTAGGCTTTGTGCTCAGTGTGGAGCCCAGTGTGAGACTTGAACTCACAACCCTGAGACCAAGACCTGAGCTGAGTTCAAGAGTTGTATGCTTAAACGACAGAGCCACCAAAGCACCTTGTAATTCTAGAATGTCTATAGCTTCCTAGCTATTGATAGGTTACTTAGTTTTAGCAGGCAATTCTGATTAGGAATAAAATGAAAAGGGGGCACCCGGGTGGCTCAGTTGGTTGAGCTTCCGACTTCAGCTCAGGTCATGATCCCAGGGTTCGTGGGTTCGAGCTCCATGTTGGGCTCTGTGCTGACAGCCTGGAGCCTGCTTCAGATTCTGTGTCTCCCTCTCTCTCTCTGTCCCTCCCCCACTCAGACTGTTTCTCTCAAAAATAAACATTTAAAAAATTTTTTTTAAAAAGAATAAAATGAAAGGAAAAAAGAAATTACATTTTAAACCATGTTTTCTTCTTTACTAGAGTTAATTCTCCATTTTTTCCTTGTCCTTCCCAGGACTTAGGCAAGAATAACATTTTTTTTTTTCCATATTGGAATGAGAAATCCCACAACAAAGAAGCTAATACTCCTTTAAAGTAAGTCAGGAGACTCCTTCCCATCTTCATCCCTCTGCCAGATTCCCTAATTTAGTAGAGATAATGACCCTGAGAGCAAAGAATAAATCCCCCTCTCAGGGGGCACAGCTGTCGCATGACAAGGAAACGTGGCCTAAGACTCAGGAAATATGGGTTCTCACGCCAACCATATCCCAACTATATTTAACCAAGGGCAAGTCGTACTATTTCTGTTGGACCCACTTTTCCACCTGTTTAATTAATTTGGAGCAGTGGAACCTTAAATAAAACTGTACGAGTCCATGGGGCACCCAAGTGGCTCAGTTCATTAAGCGTCTGACTCTTGATCTCTGTTCAGGTCGTGACCTCACTGTTTGTGAGTTCCAGCCCTATGTCGGGCTCCATGTTAACAGTGCAGAGCCTGCATGGGATTCTCTCTCCCTCTGTCTCTGCCCCTCTCCCTCTTGCTCACATACGCTCTTTTTCTCTCTCTCCAAATAAATAAACTTAAAAAAGTTTGTCTGAGTCCATGACTCCTAATGATTTTTTTTTTCTTTTTTCCTAAAGGAAGGTCATGCCTTGGAAAGTATCGACCATGCTGAGGAGCAGAGGCGTACTCCTCGTGGAAGTGGTGCTATTAGGAGCTGGTTAGGAATCAGGCACCAGAGAGCATTCTGGCCTACCTGGGCATAGTTCCCGCTGCAGACCACTGCATTCCATTTGGTAATATTCACGCAGCTTGGGTGGCGGATCAGGTAATTGTCGATTCTTCCCACATACGCATCCTTGTATCCTGTCACAGAGCCGTCGATGTCGTGGAATATGGAGTTCTTATCACCATCCAGCTCACAATCTTCAAACCAGGGCCCAGGCTTCCCAAAGAAGACATTCAGAGAGACCTGCCAGCAGTGAAAGACAAGGACATCACAAAATGAAGGCTTCTGCATTCCTGGCCAGCGTCCCCTGCAAGGATCCAACTGCATATCCCTTACAACTGCTTTGAGGTCAGAGCAGTTCTGAGTCACAGTTCATAGTTGTCAACTGCGGCACCCAAAGTTTTCACTTAATTATGACATGGT